GTGACCCGTCGTCTCTTCACTGCACCTGTAACGTGAATGTATTTGTCTTTAGCTGAAGTCCGTGTGGAGAAGCGGCAGCGCTCCAGCTTCACCACCAACTGTTTCCGCGGCCGTGGGGAGGATTACCGCGGCAAAGTCAACGAGACCACGTCGGGCATCCCCTGCCAGCGCTGGGACGCCCAGCAGCCTCATGAGCATCCCTTCTACCCGAACACATACGAGTGCAAGTGAGTGAAGAGTCTGGTGAAGGTGAAGGAACTTTGGGGTTTAATAACTTGTTAGTGTGGAAGCGCTCCGTCGGCTTCGCGCATGAATATTAATGTCAAACAGTGAAATGTCTTGCAGTCTTATTTCTGTGCTGACAGTAGATGATAGATGGTCAGCGAGCCACATTACAGAGCGGGTTTCACAGTGGATGTGAGATGAATATTAAGGTTATTTGTGACGAGGTGATCAGTCATCGTGCCAGCATCAATTACCAGCAGGTCACTCATTCATTGTTAGTGAAGTTACAAGAAGAACAGATGGAAGTGGTTCAGACAATTTACTGCTCAGTGCATGAACACAACAGAAGAAGATGGTGAATGTTGCTAAACAAAATATAAAGAACCAAGCGAAGGCTGAGACATCAGATCGGATGCTGTCGATCAGTTCTTTCATGTCATCTGGAGTGATCACACCAGAGCAGGTGCTAGCTTGTGAGCTAACATCGTGATGGCTAGTCGTGTCTCACTGTTTTGTAGCTCTGGATGTTTTGCTGGCCGTTTCTCGTGGTTAGTGGTATAAAAAAAAACCCACCAGTCTTAAGATGCTGTATGACCAACTTCTGTTAGGTTACCTCGCATAAGGATCAAAGAATCACTAACATGTGGAGACGTCCTCGCTCCACCATGACACCGGACCGGACTCCCCGAAACGAAGGCTAACAGTGTCGAAATCTAGCTAACAAAACTTTTTAGCCAAACTTTAAATCTAACAGCAACATCCACACATAACTGAAGAAACTTAAACAAACTGGTGCCTCAAAACACACAAAACACAAGACACCAGTAACTTCTTCACTGAGTTAGCAGCTGCTAACGGGAGTCGCTAAGACTCTCACGAACTCCCACACCAAGTCAGCAGCTGCCAACAGACGTTAGGTTACAACAACAAACACGAACGACCCAAACCAAGCGGCACCAGACTGTTCACACTAAATCCCAACCAGCCCCGACTGAGAGGTTGCTGGTTGGTTTTATAGCCAGGTGTGGTGATTGCTGAGGTGGTGGTCCAATCAGGTGTAACTGGAGGCGGGAGAACAAGGCTGAGCATAGGTCAGGAGCTCCATGACCAGGTGTGGTTCTGGAGCACCGTCTTCCCACACAATGATCACAAGTCCACCACATGTGACGGCACCGACACCATCAGCCATAACACCAATGCTCCAGCGATGAGCAGGAGAAGCTGATCCCATGTTATGTTTCATTCAGGGGCTTGGAGGAGAACTACTGCCGTAACCCGGACGGATCGGAGGCTCCCTGGTGCTTCACGTCGGTGCCGGAGATGAGGACGGCTCTCTGCCTGCAGATCAAACGCTGTGCAGACGACATAGAGGCAGAAGGTACCGCTTCGCTATGCAGCTTTAAGGCGATGTTCTGTGTGCATCCAGTGAATGACGTTAATGAATAAAGATGAAGCTGAGATGCAACGAGTGGCTGTACAAACATTCACACGAGTCGTCTCCAGTGTGAGCACACTTTATTAATGCAAGTTCTGAAATAATAAACATCTTCTTCTTGCAAGAACAGTTTTAAAAATTAGCACTAAAATGCACTTCTGGTCAGTTCAGGGGTTTTGCTGCTGCAGCCTTTATTGCTTATATCACTAACTGAGCTTATTTAAAGGGGTTTTTAAGTAAGTTTTTATGCTTTTTTTATCCTGTTATCGTCGTTTGTGGTGTCGGCGGCAGCTGTTAAGCAGAGAGTCACCTGCTTAATGTGCTAAAAGAACATTTTTGTGATTAAAAAGCTATCTTGTGGTCATATATTAAGTCACATTTACTGTAATCGGCGTGTGTGTGTTCACCAAAACCTCCCTCAAATTCCCATAAAACGAGAGCACTTCATCGCGCTGTAGCCTGGCCCGGCCCGGCCCGGCCCGGCCCGAGGACAGTGAATCTTACTGTTGTTGATCCCATTTTGCCGCTTTCACTGCCTGCCATATTCCATCACTGTCACTGTCACCATAATAATGCGTTTTTTCTCCCCAGATTGCTACCAGGAAAATGGAAAAAACTACAGAGGCATTGTCCGCAAAACCCGTAAGGGCATCACCTGCCAGAAATGGAACGTCAACACACCTCACCGGACCAAGTACGAGCCTCGTCTCTTTTCCCACGACAGCGGTCCTTCTGAATAAAGACGGGTCCTGCTCAGTGCCTTTAAATTAAAGCTGTGTCCAGTATCCACACTGAACGCTGATGTTTTGTGCGGGTGAATACAGCGAGTGTACTCACAGCAGTCAATAGACAGATTAACAGACTACAACCATTGTTGAGGAGCTCTCTGCTCACACAATGCCACGCACAAAAGGAATAAGAAAAGCAAAAGCTGTTGAAGCTCCAGGAACATTCAGTATTTCTCTTTGTTTGGTGCTGTTGGAGTTTTACATTAATATGAAGAGTTCATTTGTAAAAACAGAAAACTTCTCCATCGTCCACCTGAGACAACATCGAGCTTTTCTCTATTTCTGTCGTTTCCACTCAGCTTCAGTTTGATTTTATCTCAAGCAAACAACAAAAAAGTTTTCTGAAGATCTGTTTTTGCAAATGAACTCTTCATGTGTTGATTTCTGTCAAAAGCAGTTCCATTAAAATCGGTTTGTACTGTACATACATATGAACTGAAGCTGGGACTCTTCAGCTAACCGGGTCAAGCAGTCGGACCGGTTCAGGCGCGACCACGAAGAACCGAACGAAGAACAACTACAAGCTCCTGCCGCACTTACTCATGACATTCATGACATGCTTCCAGCTTTAAAAAGATCTGTGTGATCCTCCAGGATAAACCCAAGGACTCATCCTGAGGCCAATCTGACGGAGAACTACTGTCGCAACCCGGACGGGGACCAGCACGGACCCTGGTGCTACACCACAGACCCCAAGACCGAGTTCGACTACTGCGCCATCAAACAGTGTGGTACAGATCTTTAACATCCTGTAGTGGGCTGTGAGGTTGGTTCTGTTTTCTGGACACTCACTGTTGGTCTGTTTTCAGCTGGAGAGAAGGTGTCCATCACCGAGCCAGTAGGTCAGTTCACCGAGCAAGTCGGAAACGTTGACCTCAAGCCTCCAGGTGTGGTTTTAAAACAACATGTCGCCTTTTGTCGTGAACACAGAGAAGGTGGAGTTCAGCGAGTGCGGGAAGAGAGAGGACCGGTTCCCCAGGACGAGGCTGCGCATCGTGAACGGGGTTCCTGGGAACTCGCCGTGGACGGTGAGCCTCAGAGACAGGTGAGTCCGACGGTCCCGACCAATGAAAACACGCCGCTGAGCTGTTTACCACCTTTAACTTCTTTCTTCTTCTTTCTTCAGAAAAGGAAACCACTTCTGTGGAGGATCTCTGGTGAACCCCAGATGGGTGATCAGCACCAAGCAGTGCTTCTCCTCCTGGTAAAGTCAAACCTCTGGTTTCACATGTTGTGTCTTCTCTGGATAAAAGTCAGATTTGTTTAGAAAATTACTTGAACAAAATCGCTCCATTTTTATTATTTTCTTTAAGGTCTGACCGCCAGAGCCTCCACTGGTTCCCTGGCAGCTTCACCAGGCCACCAAATGCTCTACAGGAACTCTTTAAATGCCAAATTGTTTTTTTTCCCCCAGATTGATCAGAAGAAACATTCAGTGCTCATTCTTTTAGTTTTCGGGCTGCTGGTTGGTGGATTTTTGTCTCCAGCCGTGGTGCTAAGCTAACCGCTAACCTTTACATTCACCGTAGACACACGAGCGTGAATCTCTTCTGTGAAAGTGAAAGCCTGTACGTTCAATCTTAGTTTGAGGTCGGTGACTTTTAATAGAAGGCAAACTGCTCGGAAGCATCTGCATCCTGAGAAGTGCAGCTCAGCCGCTGCCAGGAAGTAAAAGTCAGGATCTGTTCGTCTGCTGCTTCGATTTTTTATCACGTTAACCCTCCGAACCCCAACAGCTTCTGGGCTTTTTTTTTACTCTTTGTGTGCTCATTTTTCACTGCAACATAAAGTCCTGCACCTCGGCAGGAACATCACAACCCTGTCGAGAAATCGTACGAATGCAATACGCTATAAAACAAAACAAACAAAAATGATCGTTGTTTTTTTCTAAATTGAATAAACCTGAAACCCAAAGCTGCTGCTGAGGAAACATGCGTCTCTGCTGACGTTTATGATCCGTTTCCATCCTTTTCTTCCACCTGCTCTGTATGAGCACAGTTTGGTTTTTTACAGAATCTCATTAATAAAAACATTTTATTTTTGGCAATTTGGAAATTAGATATGTAGAAAAAATGTTCACAAAATGTAATGAAATACCGTAACAGTAGATTTGATCATCATGAAGCAGCAGAGTTTAGTTCAAGAGCTGTTGAAGTGTTAAAAACTCTATTATTCTTTCTGTCTTTCCTGTTTCTGGTGGGGATATATCAGCGACCACATCGGTATCGGCCGATATTAGTGTTTTTTCCCAGATACCGATATCGGTCCGATGAACAAATTTAGCCGATGATTGTCCAACATCAGCACCTTCGTCTCTACGTCTGATATCGCTGCTATTTCACAGATGTTTTTACCTAAATGGTCCTTGAACCTTAAATATGTTTTACTTTTGTAATAAAGCAGACTATGTGGTCTAATCTGGGCTTCTTCTGAATACTTTTCTCACAGTGCTTACTGATACTAATTTTTCGATGTGAACAGAAATCGAATATCGGTGATATCGGTTATCGGCGATATCAGAAATCTTAATGTCGGTATCGGCCAGAAATTTGAATATCGTGCATCACTAGTTTCTGGCTGATAAATGGTGTACTTTTGGTGATTTAAAAAATACAATTAAATTAAAGAAAGCATGTTTCTGATACCTGATGGAGGCCTCAGAGTGTTTAAACATCTCTTACAAGCCATTTATGGAAGTATAGTGTTAAAACAAAGTTAAAGTTGTCGTGCTTTGCTTGTATTTCCCTCTTTTTGCTTCTGCTTTGCACTATTACAGTTATTTTAGTTTTATTTTTTAGCTATTTTTATATTTTCATCTTGCACCAACCCACCAGAACTAATTCCTCATATTGTGGCAATAAATCTGATTCTGATTCTGATTCTACCCGTCCAGCTACGTTGACCTGCCCGGGTACTCCGCCATGATGGGAACCCTGTTCCGGGACCCGCAAGACGGAGAACCTGGCGTCCAAACCATCCCTCTCACCAAGATCGTGTGCGGCCCGTCCGAGTCTCAGCTCGTCATGCTGCAGCTGGAATAGTGTGTACCGCCCAGTGCCACCAGCGTCCTCACACACTCACACACACTCACACACACTCACACACACTCACACACACTCACACCCAGCAGCAGCTTCCCTCTGACCCCGTCTCCTTTCTTTCTGCAGCCCGGCCCAGTTTAATGAGCGTGTCTCCCAGATCTGCCTCCCTCCTGAGCGCTACATTGTGGCCGAGGGGACGATGTGTGAGATCGCAGGATGGGGCGAGACCAGAGGCAAGTATAATCCTTTGGAGATGGTGGCTTGACGCTGAAATCGCTGCGTGCTGCACGTTGTGCTGCACAACGGCGAGCTTCTGTTGGAACAATCAATAATAGATGACTTCCTTCCAACAAGCGTCTCGTTTCTGCCCTTGAAGCGGCGCTGCGTCTGAATGACGGACCGTCGAGCAACAGATGGCATCGCTATTTCCAGAACCGCTCAACATCTGTCCACCTTCCTTTCTCGTTTCTTCATCTCTCCGAGCTGCTAACTCATTCCTCCTTCTCGTTGTTTTTCAAGGAACTGGGGACGAGACGGTCCTCAACGTGGCCCAGATACCGGTTCTGAGCAACAAGGAATGCAACAAGTACTTCAGAGGCCGCGTTCGCGAGAACGAGATGTGCACAAACTCCTTCCAGGGCGGAGTAGGCGCCTGTGAGGTAGGAGTCCACGTGAAAAAAGAAAACGTGAAAAGCTCTGCAGAAGAAATGCAGACAGATTGAAGCATATATAAAACACATGTTTATCAAAAAGTGTTTTGCTTTTATTAGGTTCTCCTTTTATTTTTGAAAACCTATTTTATCTTGACTGTTTTTAGAAAGTGTTTTAATAATCTTAACTACTTTTGTTTTACCCTGCAGCACAAAATGGAAAGTGCAATATAAATAAATTGTATTATTAGAATTATTGTTATGGGTTATGAATGTAGTAGTAGTAATAAAGTAGTAATAAAGTAGTAATAAAGTAGTAATAACATAGTATAACTTCTGAACCAGGTCACAGTTACACCCCAGTACTGACTTTTTTATGTTCACTGCAGTTTTTAAAGTTTATTATTTTTGTAAATTCACTTTCTTTAATTTCTTCGTTTCGATGAGGAGGTTGTTTCTCATTATTAACCTCCAGAACGCTGAACTGCTGATCCAGCGATGCAAACACTTGTTTATTTAAATTGCTTTAAGCTATCAGATCCTGTAGAAACGCTCTCTCGTCCTGCCTGTACTGCTGTGGATGTACAGCAACATGACAATAAACTGGATCTGATTTCACTCAGGATGAAGGTCCAGCTGGTTAGCTTAGCACAACGACTGGACACGAGCTAACAGCAGCTGTAGGGTTTCTCTATCTCTATCCTCCTGATAGCGTCTCTAAAAGTACAAACTCTGTGTTTACTTCATCTAAGGAAAACTTGTCGTTGTGCAGCGTTGGAGGCACCAACAAGCAGATTTCCTCCCGTCGCCTTCGTCGTCTGCTTCGTATGGACTCTACATGAAGCACAAACGCTTTCCTTTAATGACAAACGCCAGAAAGTGTTAATGCCTCAAACGCTGATCGCAGAGAAAACCTTTTGATGATGAAAATCTCTTTAGGCGGCGAGCGTACAGTTATTTATACGTTCCTATAAATCAAACGCGTCCACCACTTGGATAATGGAGGGGAACTGGACAAGATGTGACTGCAAGATGTTTCCAACCTCAGCAGTGACAGTCAGTCATAACAGAGACAAATAATGACTCCGGAGTGTTGTTCCTATGTGTCTGCAGAGAGACTACGGCGGCCCTCTGGCGTGTCAGAACAGGGACTGCTGGGTACTGGAGGGAGTGATCATCCCCATGAGGCGCTGTGGACACCCGGGGCAGCCCAACATCTTCATCCGCGTGTCCGTCTACGTGGACTGGATCAAGAAGGTCATGGAGATGGCGTAGAGACGCCGCCGATCCAATCCACCGTCAGCCATGTTGTTTTTTGTCTCTTTGCTATTAAAAAAACTATTAATAATACACATTTATGAATTTAGTCACGTTACTTTAGCATAAAACGGTTAAATCAGAGCCTCATTAATGCAGAAAATGTGTTGTTTTATCTGCTTTAGATTCATTTTAATGTGCTCTTACATGCAGGGAATCGTTCTAACTGAATCAGAAATCAGAGAAAACAAGCAGAAAACACAACGAGTACCATTTAAAAACCAAGAAACCTCGCAGAAAAGAATTATCACAGCAACACAAACTGCTTTTAAGCTTTTCCAGAAGCTTTTGCGTTATTATTTGTCAACATTTATTATTTTTATTCTCGACTTCAGCCCCAATAAACCCTCTGCTCAGTTCTAAACCCTCGTCTTAAATGTTTATTCAAGTTTATCGTTAATTCACCAACAACTAAAAAAAGATAAGAAAAGGGATCAAATGAGCTGCAGTCCCTCCGGTTCACAGAGCTGGAGCTAATTAACTTCCAATAACAGACGAGGTGTGAGGAGGAGGAGGAGGAGGAGGAGGAGGGCTTCGCTGCAAGTTCCTGACATCCCCTGGAAATGCAGAACTGTACGCCTCCCCTCGCTCTCCCTGGCACTGAATGGAGCTCCGAAATACCTTCTTTGCCCCCAGCCTCTAAAGAAATCCCTCCTCTGCCTGTCTTTTGATGCCTGCCCCCACCTCTAAAGACATGCCTTTGTGCCTTATGCAGAACTGTATGCGCTGCACATTCTTTCTAGTTCTATAGGAGGATTTCTGTAACCCGGTCCTGATGAGCCCACGGAATTCAGCTTAAATAAACCTCAAGATCAGAGTCCAACCGAATCTCAGACGCGCCGCAGAAGGCCGCTGAACTCGCTGGTGCACACGACTCCTCTCTCCTCCACGTCTCCACCCCCCGTTCTGTCTGCTTCCTCCTCTCTCGCTGGTTTTTGCTGTGATTTTTTTGTTTTGTTTTAAACTAATAAAAGTGAGGAGGTTTGCAGAACGCGCTCACCTCTAAACCGTTCATCCTCCTGCTGCACAAAACTGTTTGGAAACTGCAGGTTGACGGTTATGATTTCAGTCATTCTGTTCACTTTCATTTAGTAATATTTATAGTGGATGACTAATCAAATTCGTATATGTGACGACCGGTTCTCAGCAAGTGAAAGCTTCTGGGAAACCTGACTAAAGAGTTTTAATAAATGCAAATGTTTTTCTGTGTTATTCGTCCACCTGATAACCAGAGAACTGAACCTTCAGCGTCTCTTTGTGGTTTTTCTTTTTAAACTGAATGCACTCGTCAGTTTGGGAATTTCTGAATTAAATCATTAAACCGACACCGGGGATTGTTGAAGCTTTTTGTTCTGGTCTCGTGCCAGTGTCCTCACCTGACACGACTCGGTGAGCGCTGCAGCGTCAACCGGAACCCTGGAATGTGGATCCACCCTCATCTGGATTCATCAGCTCAGCTAAACGGTGGAAGGCAGAAAATTAGTAGAAACAAAAAAAATGTCAGTCTGGTGCAACTTTAGATAAACTGAAGGAGCAAATAAAGAAATATGGAACAAAAAACAAACAAAAAAGTAAAGGGAGGATTTAATTGTGAGGATTCTACACGTCTGAGATTTAGAACTTTTATTTAACTACTATTTGAAAATAATTAATTATATCTACATTTTAAAGATTAGAACTGACTAACTTTAGGTTTAGTTAAATAAAAAACTAAACACTTGGAATCAAACTTTGTGCACACACCAGAACCTCCTGCTCACACAGGGGAACATGCTCCACTGTTGTTTTCTCCTGCAGGTTTGCAGGAGCCAGAACCGGGCTCATATTTTCCCCCTCAAACAAATGCACATCACACTGGCAGACTTTGTTCACAAAAGCCCCGGCTGGTATCTGGGCGGCTGAGCAGAAGGCTGTAACCCTGGAGGTGGGGAGATAACAGGGAGGGAAACCTCTGCTCTGCTCTCACCATCAGCTCCACCGAACAAAACTCAACCTTTTTCCTGCCTTCTTTGGGGAACTTCCCAGCCCCCCAGACCCCACTTTGGGAACCCCGGAACCAGACCCTCCTGTCTGATGCCCGTCTTTTCTCTCCCTCCTCCTCCTCCTCCTCCTCCTCCTTTCTCCCTCTCCAGTGGGTGGTCCGGTGAGCTTTTTTTGGGCGGGGTCCTCTGTTTCAACCCTCCTACCCTCGTTCTCTCTTGAAACATGCTTTAATAGAGAAAGTATGCAATGCATACTGCTCTGCTACAACCCCCCACTACACTGCATCTGGGGTATTCGTGACTGGACGTCTGTGGGGATCACACACATTTCCGATTAGGAGGAGGGAGAGAGAGAGAGAGCGAGAGAGGGAGAGAGAGAGAGGGAGAAAGAGAGAGAGAGAGAGAGAGAGAGAGAGAGGGAGGGAGAGGGAGATTACCCTTTTTCATTCCAGCCAATGAGACGGTCGATACACTAAGATTTTCATAGTTGTGCAGGAGCACAAAGTGAGCTGGCTCGTGCGTGAACTTCCAGGTAAAACTGCGAACCGTCTTAAGGTAAGTTCTGCCGCTCGCTCTGCGCCTCTCCGCGTCGCGTTTTTGCGCCGCCTGCGTGCGCAAGGCTGCTCCGGCTGAACATGGAGCCTATAGCCTGAATGTATGCCTGTGTGCGGAGGGCTGGGGTTGAAAGGAGAGCTTTTGCACCTGTGTTTCTTGCCTTTGTCTTTGGTAAAAGTTTTTTTTTTTCTTCTTCTTTTTTTTTTTTCTCGGTTCATCCACTTCGGCTGTTATCGAAAAGAAAAAAAAAAAAAAAAAACACAACAAAAAGCCAACACGTTAGAGATCGATTGCGCAAGTGATGGAAGCAGGGGGATGTTGTGTGTGTGGAGTTAAAACACTGATGGCCTCGACTGTTGTTCAACATGTGCCCAGTTACTCAACCAAAGTCGAGGCTTTGGGGACTGGCGGGGTCGCGTCAGGATCGCTGCGCGCACCTTCTCCCAGGCTGCACAAGAATGCGTTTTTATGGTTGCAATTGCCGCCCATATGCAAAAAGTACATTCAGTCCCGTACTTGAGTGCCAAACGCAGGACTAGTTGAGTCGGACCGTCTGCTGCAGCTCGAAGGCGAGCAGCTCCGTCGAGTTCTTCCCGAACCGCCTCGGAAGCGACCGAAGCGCGTCGTGCGCCTCGTTTGGCTTTAAATCGTCTCGGCGAAAGGACGTATTTCTGCGATTCCTCCCGTCTTCCTGCTTCGGTGCGGCCGTTTTTGATAGGCTGTGTTGGCAATTAGTGTTTGGCGCATTCCTGGCTGAGCGAGACGTGGTGGGAAACGAGCACCTTGGGACCCGAGCGACTCACAGCAGACACGCATTGTTTGTTTTGCTGCTCGAAAAGTCAATTCGGTTGTTTTTCTGTTGTTGTTGTTGTTGTTGTTTTAGGAAGCTGCATGTAGTGCAACAGGAGGATGGAGAGTTTACAGCTGAGTTAACCAGAGCTGAGACAATTAGTCCTAAAATGGTAAAAAAAAGTTTAATATTTAGTGTTTTTTAAGCACAAATGCAAAACTTGTGTGAAATAAGTGAATGCATTGTGATTTTTGGGTCGTTGGTGCAGCTGGGAGATGCCTCCTTGGACTTCTGGTGTTTGTTCTGTGTAGAAGTTTTGAGATTATTCACAGTTTAGGATGTTTTCTTGCAGAATGTCTTCAGATGTTTTTGTGCTCACATTCCAAACACATTCAGTTTTCTGTCACACAAGACAAATAAATCCAAACTTATGAATCAGCTGTTTAAAAACAAAAGTTGCCCATTGATCTTTTTAACCGACTAATCGCTGTGTTGTGCGCTTCTTTCCCTTCCTTAACCTGTTGCTCTTGTTTAAATGCACTTTGGGAGCTACAGAAACCACCAGAGTCTGACTCTAGGCCTCCAACTGTCGGCTCTTTGTGATGAAGGTTTCGTGTGCTTTCCTACCGTCTGCACACCGGCAGCAGCATCCCCGCTCCTCCATTGAGAAATCCTCCCCAGATGGAAAGGCAGAGCGCGGTGCCGTCCAGTAGATGTGGACTCTGGATGGCAGATTGAGTTGTGAATATCTGTGCTACTTTTAGTCTCTGCACACCACTCTCATGTTTCCCTGCATTTGCCAGACCCCTGTCTGTGTTCCGATCAACCCGGTGCCAAGGCTTATGTATGAGCGGTTCCCACGCCTGCTCTTGGAAAAGGATCTTCTGTGATTCCCGATGATCCTTTCAGTGACACATTAAGCACTAATTAGAACTCATTGTGGCGGCTGTGCAGAAGCAAGATGATTTCAAGTGGTGCGATGGAGCCGATTAGCCTGAATTTGTCCGGGATGATTGTGGCGCTGCTTTCAAAAGTAGTTGTGTTTTTTTTTTCTTTCTTCCTAGTGGCTCACGTCTCCTCACACTCGGTTCTTCTCCTCTTTAAGCCCTTGAGGCCGCTGTACCAGGCTTTGATGCCCTTTGAAGCAGGTGGACAGACGCAGGCATGAGCAACAGTGGGACCAAAGAGCCGTCTCCTCAGCCGAGCACTGCCCAGTCGCCCTCCGAGCCTCAGCGCAGGGGCAGGGGTCGCCCACGCAAACAGCAGCAGGTAGGACCTCGGGCCTGGAGGCGTGGACGGCAGCACCTCCAATCGAAACATTAGAAAAACCAAAGCTTGGGTTGATTTTGTGGCTACGATCATCTCTGACTGCCTGGTGTTGCCTCCATGTCTGATCTGTCTCCACAGGAGCCTGTTGGACCACCGACTCCAAAGCGGCCGAGAGGACGACCAAAAGGCAGCAAGAACAAAGGCCCCAAAACTGCACTGAAGGTTAGCGCTCAGACGCTTTAAATATAGGAGCTGATAATCTTTGCTGCAAGAATAGTTGCTGTATATTTGTCTCAAATGCTCTAATAGTGGACAGTGATCTGTGTTGCTCCAATTAGGACGCTGTAATAGAGACCTTACTGTATATTTGTCTTCACATTTATGGCTGCACTGTCTTCATATCCTTAAAATACCGCATAAGATTTGAGCAGGTTCACGTTTTAGTGCATCTGAGATCTTTCCACGTTAAACATCCTGAACGGCCACGATTTATGTCTTCGGTGCGGCGCTATGAGGAGCCATTAGGAGGGCAAATGTCAGCGTACGACGGAGAAAATACAAGCTGTCATTAAATCACTGCGCTGGTTATTTATCTCACGCTTCAGCCGGCGCGTCAGCGGCGAGGCGAGCAGAGCAGGAGGGGCTGCTATGGTTCTGACAGACTGTCTCAGAAAAACTAAATCCTGTCACGTAGCTACGAGTTTATTTACCAGTTTACATGTTGTGCTGTTGAAGTGAGCGCCACCTCGTCCAGTCCAGTGTGCACATTCATCCATCAGTCATCATAGGACGACATTATGAGCCTCAAGTTTGGGAAAGAGTGAACTTTTTAGTGCACTAGTTGCACATTATTCTATTTCTTTCATGCAGTATGTCTAATTGTAGGAACCAACTGGGTCTGACTGCCAATCTTAGAAAACATTTATCAACACCTCTGAAGTTGTTTCTGTGTATTTGAAATATTACATCAGCTGTGATTTATGAAAGAAGCTAAATCATTTGGTAAATAACGTGTAGACTGGAACCTACTGTGTGCAGTGATTTATTCATTTTCTTGGACAGATGTTCAGTTTTCTCTCCACAGTTGTGCAAAGTTGCTGCAGTTTAATTCATGGAATTAATTGATTTATCATTTAGGATAATTAGCCCAAAGTTGACGTCTTCACAGGTTTTGATTCGTTCAACCAACAGTCTGAAATCCAAATAAGTAAACTTTTCCATCGAGTCGGACTGAGAAAACCTCACAAAGCTGTGAATTTTGGCTGATCACTCAAACAATTGATAATGTTCTGATGATAGACTCGTCGATTGATGAATGAATCGATTCAGATGTGAAGCCAGAATCATTTCTGTCTCTAAAGATGAACTTGGTGATGTTCAAATAACAAAGTCGGGATAAATCCTCCATCAGAGTTTCAGGATTTTAGGGAAATTGTTGTATCAGGTGAGAAAGTTTGACTGATCTGAAGATTTCTAGCATTTCACAGATCAGTTTCCGTTTTCCTACGTGTGCCTTTGTTTTGTTTGGTTTTGTTTGGTTTTGTTTTGTTGGGAGACAAAGAAGAGACTCAAAAGACAAATTCACCAGTTGTGAAGGAACAATGAGCATCAGGCGACAGAACTTGTTCAACTTGTCGCGACATGGCAGCGTCGAGGTATTTCATGTACGAGCATCAGACGGGCCGGTCATACGGATGTGTGTTCAGATAGATGGTCCACAAACTCTCTGATTGTTTGAAACCACTTTGCTGTGACTGTCGGTGCATTTGCTGCTGATGCATGTGCAGCATGTCGGATCCATGCAGGTCCTGTTGACTCTTCTGTCCATCGCTGCAGTTTAATCTCGTTCCAGCGCCGACCATGCAGGCCATGCTGGTTGTTGTGAAAATGAGATGTCACGGTGTTCCCAAAAGAACTTTATTAGCGAATCCGACCGCAGTTTACGGACAGAAAAGGAACATTTAGCAGCTAAAAGTCACTGCTGCTGAAGACTGAAGTGAAATCTGTGTGATGAGCGTTGCTAAAATCGTCTGTTCTGTCTCAGAAAGTCGAGTCGGTTGGAGGGAGACGACCGCGTGGGCGACCGAGGAAATGGGTATGGAGCAATCAGCAGAGTTTAACGTGTCCGAGGCCTCCGACGTGCAGCAGGCGTCTCCGTGGGCCTCCGTTCTCTCGACTGTTGAGTTAATGCTGCTGCCTTTCTCTTCACAGCCCCAGAAAGTAGTCCCAGAAGCAACTGAAGAGCAGCAGGTGAGGAAACCTCTGGCAGGCGGTGGGGTGGTCCAGGTTGTGTTTTGATGCAAGACGCAGTAGCTCAGGAACTGTTGTGTTGTAATAGGGCCAAAATAATAGAAACAGGATAAGACATGACATAAAGTAAAGCTTTCAGAACCCCTAATATATGACATTTATGCCTAAAAGAGGAGCTTCTAACAGACTCTTTAAAGCCATGCGTGCTCCTCAGACCTACCACATGACTTGTTTTTTTCTGTTTAGTGCAGATGTACTTTTAGATCAAACTGAAGGTAAAGTCACTGCGAGAGTCTGACTGTGGAGGAACATCTGCTCCACTTCAACAGAAGTCTCATTTTGTGTCACACACGTTTACCTTTTGACTAATGTCGGCTCCGCGTCGCCCGGTAGACTCACGCTGTTGATCTCATTTAAGTATTTCTGAATATTAGTATCACTCAGCTGCAGGTTGGTCGTTGCGCTGAGCTGGAGCTGCGAGCTGTTAGTCACCGTAAATCAGTGTGATTCAGCATCTCTGCAAACTAAAGCTCCCAACGGGGCATGAAGCTGAATGAACCTTTACTAGCTGAGGATCTGTTACAGAACTTTATTTTAATGCTTTATTATTGCGATAAAAAAGAGGAACGGACCCAAAAAACATGCCGCTAAGCTGTCGGGATCTTCATTTTGTTGTGATGCATTCAGCTTAACAACAACTAACCTGAGTTATGACGTCATTTTGGACCAATAGGATGAACGCTTACACTTAATTCTGACTTTATTAGGAGCACATATGCAGCAGTGCCTCCCCGAATCCTGCCTTCACGCTGATTATAATGTTCATTTTCTGACTAAACTTCTCCAGAAACTGTTGATTGAACTGATAATCGTGGAGGACGTCGTGCTGTTGAGGTGTTTCTTATCAAACCCGCCCTCGGTGACGAAATAATAGGAACACCTGTCAGCGTCCAAACAGTTCTTCAGCAGTTTTATGTTCTTCTTTTGTGCCTGAACCACTCCAGCTTCTTCCAAATGCCTCCAGAACCACAAATCTAACACAGACAGCCCGTTTCCTCGGGCCGTCAGGTGGTGCGTTCAGGGTCCCTGCACAACATCTGCACTCGCTTTTCACTCTTTTGTGTGTTTCAGATTTTTTTTGTCTTGCATGTTTGTTTTTAAATGTCTCCGTTTTTTGTCCTCTAATCCTCCCGCTAACGCACTTCAGGAGGACGCCATGTTGCTTTCCAGTACTCTGATTAACCTTCATGGCGCACGTGAAGACAGATAAGTCCACCTTAACGAACCTTCAGAGCTTCTCCATCGTCTATCTGAGACACCATCAGTCAAACTTATCTCTGTTGTTGTTTCTACTGAGTCAAATCCACTCGGCTTCAGTTTGACAACAAAAAAAAACAAGTTTTCTGAACATCTACCAAGTGGAGTTTGATGTTTTTGCACATGAACCCGTCACGTTTTATCAGATGGATATAAAACTGCTGAAGGCTCCTCCTGTTTTGCGTCAACTGTCTTGGTGAGGATGCGGCGAATTCTTGGAAGTTTGCAGGTGGCAGCGCTTGAATTCCCCAGACGCGCCGCCCGACATCCTCTCTCTGACATCCAGCTCGCAGCTTTTCTCCGAAACTTTGGCTCTTTTTAGCCGTCCTGTCGGTTCTTCAAACGAAAGCGTTGCACAACAGCGTTCTCTCCACAGCCTTCGCTCGATGCCCCTCGTCTCGCCTTATCGCATCCTCTCTGCTGAGCAGTTTGTCAAAGAGGCTGAGGTGCTTCAAGAACTGAAACCGTTGAGACAGACTCCTTTTCTCAGACGCACGCACATGAAGGGGAAGAATGAGTCAGTGTAAGCGAGGGGAAACCTGATCTAACTGCTCTCTTCCTCTGTCTTCTTGGTTTCCTGATGCAACCGTCGTCTTCCTCACATTTCTAGGTCTGACAGCTGGAGCCTGCTCCCTCGCACGCAACCAAATCTTTAAACACTCATTCTCGTATTCTCGTGCTCTGTCTGATTCGTTATCTCGAGCGCGGTGAGTCACTGGACGAGAGCAGAGGGAGAATAAAAGTGTTTGTGGTTCCAGGGCCCTTCAGAGGAGGCTGAGGAGGGTCCCTCGCAGCTCGACCCCTCGTCATCTCAGGTGCCGGCGCAGGAGGAAGGGGAGTAGATAGGACGCCTCTCTACCTACCTCAAGGTTTGACCCCCGGCCAGCAGGCGGGGGGACGACCTGACTCCTATCTGTGATGGGGATTCAGGAACACACACACACACACACACACACACACACTCAGAAACCATTGCAGACAGTAGTTTCCTCTCCCGATCCGATACCGAACCCTGGATTTGTTGTTGACGACTTTAAGACGTTGGTTTGTTTTGTGAACAAACTCCGTTTTAACATTTGGGATATTTGATCTTTGGAAAAAGGCTTTTTTTATAAAGGAATAGTTCCACTTTTTTGGGAAATGCAACAGAAATGAAGGGATGGATTCATGCAGCGTCGCTGAAGCTTCAACGATTTCTTCTTCTTGAAATCTGCACAAAAGCCAAAATACAAAAGCAGTGCGTCTGAGTTTCAGACGTGCTGGTGGGGAGTTTTCCACCAGTTTGTACACCAGCAGCACCAACAGCTGTTTAGTTGTATTTCCCATAAAGTGGAGCTGTTCTTTCAGGTGTGCTGGCTGTCCTGAACCCCTCAGTGTGTGTGTGAGAGTGTGTGTGTGAGAGTGTGTGTGTGAGTGTGTGAGTGTGTGTGTGTGTGTGTGTGTGTGTGAGTGTGTGAGTGTGTGTGTGTGGAGGGGACGGACTGAAACGAGAGGGGTTAAGAAAAACAAAGGAACCAAACTGAACCGTTTTATGTTCGAATCGAGTGTCACGAATCCTCGTAAGAAACGGGAGCAAGACGTTTTTTAAGATGAACATGCTGCGCTGAAGTCATTGTGACGAACGCTGATGTGGAAGGTTTCACTCACGAATCAAACATCCAGTTTTTTGGAGGGAAAATTGAGGTTTTTTGAAGCTGAAATGTCAACATGAGCAAAACTAAAGTTCTTTTTCCCCCAAAGGTTTAACTGGATGTTTTATTTCTGGAGGGAAACCTTTCATGCATCCTTTAGTCAACAACCGTGTTGTCATTTCGCCACACTCAGGATTCACTATTACAGTGCTTTTACACCATATTGAAACCTCAGGTACAAAAAAACTCTTCAGGAACATGTTGTCTACTCAGTAATAATTATGGTGCTGTGTTTGTTGTGCATTTCTCACCTGTATTTGACATTACCAGTATGCCTTGACACAAAGACCTCATTTAAACCTCAGTTACCCTCAGTTTCTTAATCTCTCATTCTACCTCAGTAACACAAAAAAAGGCAGAAGATCTCCGACAGAGCAACGCGTCGTCGCTCGCTCAGCAGCGACGGCACACACTCACTGATTTCTATGTATACAGCACAGGCGTGAGGCGTTTTCAGGGTTTTTCAGGGCGACATGCCGACACACAAACACACAGATGTTACCCTCCAGTAGAGGAATAAAAGCATCATTTCTTTTTAACGAAGAAGAAGAAAGAAAAACAACAAAAAAAAGTGTATTTTATAAAAACTGAAGTGAGACTTTGTTCTCCTGGGAAATAAAAAAAAAAAAAAGACAAAAAAATGCAGCCCATAGTTTACAACAACTTGATGCTTTTAGGGTGTAGTTCCTTATGACATACTTGTGTTTTTGGGTTTGTTTATTCTTTTCTCATTTTTACTACATTGTGTATTTTCTGACTCTTACACTGTAAATTGTATGTGTGACACTCTTAATTCGTGGCAGCAAAATAACCACAAAGTGCTGAAATACATGAGAGTTGCGGCCGCGTCGGGCCGACTCGGCAACAGAACACCTGATTGTACTGAATCGTCGCTTCAGCGATTCAGCTTTTACTTCAGAGAGACAGAATGTGTTATTTCTTCCCCTAAATGTTCCAACGAGAGCCTCACAGATTACCTCGTGGCCGCGCAGAACCCAGCACGGTGAAGTGAATGGGGTTTCACCTGCAGCGCTCGTCACATCCATCCGCTCTCCCACTAAAGAGACGGAAAAGGTCGGCAGCGAAGTTCGTCGACACAGAAACGCTGTTAAACTTTACGGGCTCTCTGTGGTGTTTTTGCCAAACGTGTTTATTTGTTCGTCGTCAAAATCAG